CCAGGCCTGGCTCTAACCCCAGTGGGGGGTGGTGGTGCAGGGGTGCCTGCCCACCCCATGTGGGGCACACCGAGGCGCAGGTAGTGCTGTGTGCACATGGCACTCTGGGGCACTGCAGGCTGCTGAGGTTGGGAAACCAGCAGCGCAGGAGGCGCTGTCCCAACCTCTCCCCCATCTTGGTCCCGCCTGCACTGCACCACACAGGCCTGGCTCTAACCCCAGTGGGGGGTGGTGGTGCAGGGGTGCCTGCCCACCCCATGTGGGGCACACCGAGGCGCAGGTAGTGCTGTGTGCACATGGCACTCTGGGGCACTGCAGGCTGCTGAGGTTGGGAAACCAGCAGCGCAGGAGGCGCTGTCCCAACCTCTCCCCCATCTTGGTCCCGCCTGCACTGCACCACACCAGCCCTGCCTGAAGGGCTCAGGGCCACCTTCCTGCCCGCTGGGAGCAAAAGGGAAGGGGCAGACGAGTTGGGGGGCGGCTCCCCAGGGTTGCTCAGGGGTGCTCTGGCAGCCGCGGTAAGTGTAGCCGCTGTGGAGGAGGTGAGTCTCCAAGGGGCTGCTGGATTCAGGGTGGTCGGGCACCATGCTCTGTCTTCTCCAGAGCCTGGCAGCAGGGGCGCCCTCAAGAGCCTGGCAAAAGCCCAGCTGGGAGCCCCACTCTTAGCACCTGTCCGCAGACTGTTGTCCCAAGCACTGTAGCCCCCCTCCCCCCCCGGAGGGTACATTACATGGCTGCAATGTAGGGTCTGCCAGCTACCATGCCATGTTTCTTGGTGTTGAAAGCCCTCTAGTGTGGGGGTGGGGGAAAGGGAGTAGAGGCTTGGTTTAAAATAGCAATTCCAAGTGGCAAGGGGAAGCAGCGAGGTTGGGCTTGAGCTAGTAGAGGGAGTGGGGGGGAAGAGAGGGAGGAGGCAGGCGGGATGCAAAGTGACATGATGACGTCATTCAGTCATCCCGCAGGAAATTTTTTTTTTTTTTTTAATATAGAGAGAGATAAATACCCTTAACATTTGTAAGCCTGTTCAACTCCTCCTATGTTAGTATATATTCTCTTATGGACTACGTTTGCATCAGATAAATCATTTTCCAGGAATTATCTGATGCCTGAGTTCTAGCCCAGAGACATAATTTACAGTGTAATATGAGCAAAATATATGATCTGTCATGCAAAAAAACCCCAAACCCCTAAACCATATGTAGAATTGTCACACAAATGAATATACAGTAGACTTCCGATAATCCGGCACTCTTGTTTCCCAGGGGGTGCTGGATTATCGGATATGCTGGAGTATCGGGAGGTACTCCGGCAGGTGCTGTGACAGATCTGCTGGGACCCGCACTGCATGGGGGGGAGGGGTCGACAGGGAACGACGTGGCAAGAGGCAAATCCTTTGCCATGTTGAGGGGAGGCGGTGGAAGCCCCGTGCAGCCAGCTTGCAAACGGGGAAACTTGTAAGCGGCAGCAGTGGAGAAGGGGCGAGAGGTAGGCAGAGGTTTAAGGCAGGCAGGCGGGTGGGGGTGAGGTCGGTGGGGAACGCTGCCTGTCTCTTGCCCCCTCTCCGTCGTCGCCACTTACAAATTTCCCCGCTTGCAAGCCGGCTGCGCGGGGCTTCCACCGCCTCCCCGCAACATGGCGGAGGGTTCGCCCCTCGCTGCGCCGTTCCCGGTCGACACCGCCCCCCCCCTCCGCCTGCGTACCTGCCTGCCTTCTTTAAACACCTGCCTGCCTCTCGCCCTCTCTCCGCCGCTCCAACTGTCCAACTATCAGGAGTGCCGGACCACTGGCTGCCGGACAATTGGAGTTTTACTGTAATTTTAGAACTATACTGGACTACTGTATGATATAATAAATTAAGAGTGTATACACACACACACACACACACACACACACACACACACACACACGCTATATATTAATATATTTATTTTAACATTTGTACTAGATTCTGAAGATGTAAAAGACTAGGCAAATGCTAAGTATTATATTACCTTGGCCGATAAGCTTCAGTACCATCTTTGATGGTTGGTAGCGTAACTTTTATAGGATGACCAGAGGCAGACATAGATTTCTGATGTCTAGGTCGTGTTGATACAGCAGAAGCAACAGCTGAGCCTGCAGATGATGTGCTACTTGCAGACATTTCTGTTAGGCTTTTATCACAAGAAAGGGAGGAAAGCCATAACAATAAGAAAACACACATTAGCTGTGTTTAAAAGTAATTTCCAACAACAGAACATGTCAAACCCCGAAACCAGATAAAAATTCTTAAAATAAAGATTTTATTGCAAGCAGAGTTATAATGGTCAGACACAAAAACAATGTTATTCTTGGGAAAAATGAATGTTTTTATCATCAGTTTCCATGGAAAAGATCCATTCAAGTATGTTGAAGAACGGCTTTTTATTGCTTCCAATCATACACAAGATTATTTTCTTTGAAGTATATAAGAAACTAAACAGTAATTGCGCCCCGCATATTTTCCCATTATAAAACCGCTGTTTTCAGTTGCTTATGCCTAACTACAGTAAACTTCCGATAATCCAGCACCTTTAGGACCCAGGGGGTGCCGGATTGTCAGATATGCTGGACTATTGGAAGGGGGAGTTATAAGGGGTCTGGGGTGGAGTGGGGGGGAGCGCCTCTCCGCGCTGCGAGACCAACCCGGCAGCACCCCAACTGCTCTGCCCCTGGCTTCCGCAAGTCAGCCGCTGGTCAGTTTCAGCAGCAGCTGAATCGAGGAAGCCGGGGGCAGAGCAGCTGCAATTGTTTGGTTGCCTGGAGCACTTCCGGGTTCCAGATGGTGCCGGACCATCAGGAGTGCCAGACCAGTGGAGTTTTACTGTAACTGTTTAGGCTTAAATACTATGTTTTAAGTGTCTGTCTTAGCCTAGTTATTTGTGGGGAAAACTTCACCCAGAACAGTTTCGCTGTTTCTCAGAACAAGACCAGGGCAAAATCTTTCCCCATTTAGAATAGACTAAAAATTTGGCAGAGACTTAATATTTGTCAGAGAATGTTTTTTCTACTGTTCTTGTGAAAATCCATTCTTTTATGTCTATTAAATAGTTACATCTTTTACGCAGTTATTAGGGACTTTAAAAAAAAACAACCAAGCTATATGGCATGTCCTCTGGCTCATCCGGGATAGTTCATATCTGAATTTTTCTATTTAAGATTGTAAACTCTTCCATTTGTACTCTTCACTTGGATTCTTTGCACAGTGATGGTGACAACTCCTGACAATATTATTGCATGGGAATGGTTAAAGGCAGAATCACAATATTTGTCTGTTATTATTTGTCTAATTATGACTAATATTCTGGTACAAACTTTTCTGCAAGATAAAACACAAGTGTGCATGTAAAGTTTAGTTCACTCTACAAACAGCATCTTTCATGAGCATATTGGCTAAATGTTTGTGTTACCTCCTGTGCATACTTCAACACATATTCTTAGATTTTTGGAGAAGTTAACTGAGTACCTGTTATCTTTCCCATTCTGTACTGCAGAATAGCGATCTGTAGACCGCTCACAAACGTATGTGTTCCTTCTGGTCATTCCACCAACAGGAAATACATTATTCTAGAGGGAGAATAAAAATGAGTGAAGACAGATACAGTTAATTAATATATAGACAAGTTAAATAAAGTTATCCTGAAAAATGCAAATCAGCATATCCAAATATATTTGATCTTAAAATGTGGCATCTAAATTCCAGATCAGTGGTTTTCAATCTTTTTTTTCCATTCGTATGCTCAAGATTTCAAATGGAGATGTGGTCCCCTTTGGAAACCTCAGGAATAGTCTGTGGATCCCCAGAGGTCCACGGATCACAGATTGAGAACCACTGTTCTAGACTGCGTGATAGAAGACATTAAAATATACAGAAACACTTAATTAAATCTGTCGACACAAAGTACTTATTCAATCACCTATTCTCTTCTAATGCTCTCATCACTATGTAGGCTCCACAGGAATTCACTGAATTAAAGCAAGGAAAAGTGCAGTTAAAGGAGGAAATTTGCTTTAGTAACATCCAGTTCCTGCACGCAGTGAAGAAGTCCTATAGGCCTAGATCATCCATTGCAACTGGGACATCCACACAGAAGTCATACTGAAATCAGCCGGACTCCATGAAAGTTTAAGGGCTTTCCTATGTAGATTTAGTTGCCATTCAGAGCTTCAGTTCTACTACTTGTTGCCCGTCTGGTGATTGTAACAAAAAACTTTTAATTTGTACTGCAGAGGGCAACCGTCGTCAGGAATTAATACAAACTGAGAAGGATTTTGATCTTTGTCACCATAATGATGGGTGCCAAATAAGTGTGTGTACTATTAATACTAAGAAAAAAATTCTCATTTTTTGTTAAATGTGCTCCCTACCTTAAATCTACTCACTCTTAAAATGTTTCTGGTAACCGATTAACTCTTAAAGAGCTAATTTTAATATAAAAGTTTACGGTAACATTTTCAACTTTTAGATAGGATTGGTTTAATTTAAATTTTTCAAAACTTCAGTGTAATGAGACATGTTGACATTAATTCATAATTACATGTTAATGAAATAATTTTTGTACTTGTAAGACAGAATTACTCCATGTTTAAAAGTCTTGTAAAATATTTTGCAAAATACACTACAGTAATCCAGGACACTGCAAGAAAGCATTTGGACTAGATAGTGGTCATACAACAGTTGCTTCAGCAAGAACAAGGCACATGAACACTTGGATCCATACCTTCCATCCATCCTAAAATTATAAAAAAAAAAATTATAAAAATTTCTCATACACAATGAGAAATTTGGGATAGCTGCTATGAATTTTAAATATTGTCTGTAGTAGAATTGCAGGACTGGAAGGGACGTCAAGAGGTCTTTTTGTCCTGTCCCCTGTACTCAATGTGGGCTTAAGTATTACCTTGATTGTCAAACCTGCTCTTAAAAATCTCTATGTACTACTGTATAATTTTATATGTCCATCAGTTGAAGGTATGAACAGGCTTATTTATTTGTACAGTGCCATGACATGCATAGCTCTTTACAGCTAAGAAGAGGGCATGTTCTTCTCTCTGAAGTTTTACAGGTTTTGTTTATTCTTTTAAAAATAGTTTCAGGCATAGACTATGTCCTTTATGCTTCCTCCCACCACAGAACAAAGGCAGCAGAGAACTACTGAATAATCTTTATGGTTTCCTGATCTAATGCTATTTTATAATATAGATTTATAATATAGATTCTTTGGGTTACAGTTAAAATAATTTTTTACATAGAAGTTATATAGAAAGAAGGACTTGATAAAGGAAATGTTTGTTCAATCTTAACTAACTACATATGAAATATCAGATATCACTGTATCTTAATCTTACTTATGAAACCTCTTTCACAAGTACTCTAAAATAGTAATAGATCTACAATGAACAATCACAGCAGTGCTTATTAGCAAGTAAATAAACTTCTCACTCTATCATTAAGCTACATCATTTAATTAGTTCACTGTAAGCAAAAAAATGTTTTTGACATATCAGCTTGGAACACACATCAGAATAATCAGCTTTTGGGAGATACAGTTTTGGGAAATCATGGCAGATTTAAAATCCAATAAAATCTAATCTCACAGAACAAAAAGTTCTAGTACATGTTTCACACAGCCACCACTTCGAGTCCCCCAGGGAGAGATTTTAAAACAGAACCAAGGTTTAAAAGCAGCTGTATGACGTACTGCAGATATTTTCTGTAAGACACAGAAATCCTTATAATTTAGCAGATTTAAAGTTGATTTTGTCTGAAGAAAGAACAAAGAATTTCTTTATCAGCAACATATGAAAACCAATGGAAAATGCAAAATCCTACAGTCTATCATATGGAAACTTTTTGCCAGGCTGCACTGTACAAGCGCTACTATAATTTATTATACAACTACTTAACCCAGTTTGTCTTCTCTTGATAGCATAGGTTTGATTCACATTTCAAAATGTGAGCCTTTCATACAAGTAATTTTTGGTATTATGAGCTCATGCTTTTAAATCAAGTATCAAACATTCCTGTAAAGGTAGCAAGCAAAATTTGATTGCATGCCCTAGCGACCCATGATATTGCAAAAGCCTGACTTTTTTAGGTTAGAATATTCCAGTAGTATAAGAAAAAATGCTTCCAATAACCAGTCCAAGAGCTGTCTGGAATAGGGATGTTAGTGTCTAGTCGAACAGTCAACTAATCGATAAAGAGAAGCTTCTCTGGGCTTCACAATGCAGAGCTGCAAGTGTGAGGTGTGATGAATGAAAACACCCATGGAGCAGGGGCCGAGCTAGCGACTTCGTGTGCCAGCTTCCCTAGGCTTTACAATTCAGAGCCGCAGCTGGGGAGGTTTTGCAGTGAATCGGCATGAGCCAAACTGAGCTCCACAACTGCTTACCACTGTCGACTAATCAAATAGTTGACCAAAAATCTATTGACTATTCGATTAGGGAAGCAATCACATTTTAACATCCCTAGTCTGGAAGCTTTTATTTTATTTTTAAAAAGCACATACAGTATAGCTTATTTCTGTGTACCAATAAGAAGCTATCAGAATACACAGTTTATGGAATATTCACTAACCAGTATATGCCAAGTATACAGATAGTGCCCCAAATGATTAAAAAAACTACTCACACTTGGAATTGCAGGCGCTTTCTTTCTTTCTGGACCTACAAGTGGACTTGCTGCCATCTCTCCTTTGGATCCAACTGTAGTGCTGCTGAGCTTACGTGACACATCTTTGTCCCATTCCTCTTTCTGTTCACTTTCTACACTATTTGCCTGAACCCTTTTTGTGTATGATACAGCCGGAGGGATTGATGGACCAACTGTCAAATAAAAATAAAATTATACTAAAACAATCATTCTTTCTCTCAGTCAATATACTCTGAAGGATGATTCTCTACACATGAAAATAATCCTTTGGAATGTAAGGTTGATGTTCATGCTACATGTACATCAACCTTAAAATGTGTAAAATGTGATAGCTATGTACACTGAATTATCATTAAATAAATCTGAAGCTCCTGTCTAATTCATTACAAGTCTGAAGTTAGGTAGTATACATTTAGTACTTCGCTGTTTCATATTAGTATTGATTTATAAGTTTCAACTTACCTTCCCCTATTTTAGCACGATCACTAACACATTCCCAGAACACCTGGCATTTCAATACTTTTGGGAATGACGTGGGACCCATCCCTGCCTGTGTGACCCCGCTCCATCAGTGTAACCTTGCAATAAAATCTGTGCAAGGTCATGCCACTTGTAGGATCCCATTTTGAAGAGTGTGCCACCCCTGGTGCCATGACTCTGCACACAAAAGGGGCAGAGAGGGTGGGGTGTCACAGACAAGATCAGAGCAGTAACATTCTTCAAAAGAGTGTCCATCCATACATGATACCAGACAACATCTGGTTAGCGTCCAACAGGGAACAAACTGGGTGAAAGAAGGACTACCTAGCTTAAAACAGGACAAATGACCTGTCTGCCCTTTCCATACTCTCCTCAACCCACAAGCCAAAGTTTTGGCCACAAAATAATTAAAACTATTTTATTTACTTTATGCTTCTGTGGGGAGAAACACAGCTTCCCTCCTCTTTTGGGGCAGATCCTCAGGTAGTGTGAAATATACAACTCCCATTTACTTCACTAGAGTTCGACAGTTGGTACTAGCTGAGGATCTACCCTATGTATTATTCACTTCTGTGGGAAAATCCACACTACTGACTTGTACAGAACTGGCGAGATGTGGAAGTCATGAAGTAATAGGGGAAGAAAAGGGTCAAGAGTTTCTGAATAAAAATGTTTTAGCATTTGAAAGAATGTTAAAAACCTCTCATATTTAAAATGTGAATATTTTCTCCATTTTATACACCTACATATAAGCCTTAAGATGCTTCCCAATAACTTTGTAAATCATCTCCCTTGACTACCCCAACCATGTGGTCTTCTCTCTCAGAATGTATTTACCATTTACTTAGCCTGCAGTTTTCCACAAACTCACAAACCATGAATTTGCAATATGGCATCTGATACTCAAGACTAAGAATTTATATTTAAATTCCAGTGTAATTTTAGCATGACGTCAGAACTGGTATTGAATTCCATACAGAATTTAAAAGGTGGTAACTACACTGAAGTATCAAATCCAAAAAAAAAAAAAAGAGTCAGGTCTATTAAGTTGGCCCACATTTGCCACAGAAACACTTGTACGGATAAGCAGCATCATGGTGTGGCGTGATGAAGCACGCACGAAATGCACATAGAGGTGGAGCTGCCAAGCTCACAAAACACTGCACACTCAGATTTAAATTGTGTATGTTACTTTACTTGTTTGAACGTCATCCCCACCATGATCACTGAACCGTCGTTGTTTCTGGTTGGTCGATATACTCCGCTGGACTTTCAGATGCGCAGGAGACTGCATCGAGCTGTTATTGAGGTCACTGCTGGGTCGAGACCTTTGACTCAGGTTACCACTGGACAGGGATTCACTTCCTTCAAACTACAAGGGTAAGAAAGCATTTACAATATTTTTGAAATGCAGACAAATTAACATTATCAGCACTACCATGTAATTATGTAGTGAAGGATTCCTATACAAAGCACTTAATTTGGTCATTCAGACTTTTGAATTAAATAGGCTAAATTTTTTAAAAAATTGTCTATTTTAAAGAAGTTCAATTTTTTTCAAGACTGTAAACTGATAACTTCAGCTATCATGATTTAAGCTAATCCTGCTCATACTGAATTATGAAAATCAGTAGCCCACTACATACAAACTTACATTACAGCTGCTTAAATATGAACAAACACGTATTACAACATACAGTTAAAACTCAGAATGAGGAGTGTTATTTAAAAGAAGAAAACTTAGGAGAATCTCAATATTAAGTTTAAAAAACACCTTAAAACTAGATCATAAATTGCTTTGATAAGATTTTTTGTCAGAACAATTTGAAACATTTCATACAAACTTGGAATAACAATTTAAGTCCAGAAATAAAGTTAGCAAAGCAAGGAGTAATGACTCAAGGATGTTTCAGTATCATTAACCCAATCCTGGGTTTAAGTAATCCAGCCTTTGGCCTCATAGACTGTAACAAGCATTATAAAGAAAACTGTTACTAATGGCAGTGTGATTGACAAATCTTTCCATCAAAGCAAACTCTGTCTAAATTTAAGTTTAGACAGATTCTTCCTCTGTCAAAGTACAAGAGTTCTGGGGTGGACAGCGGCTAGTGAGGGAATGCCTTGGAGGATAGATGTATCAGACATGTCCTCACAGAGGTGAAGAAGTGCTAGGAGCCAATGTGAAACAAAGTTCTTCCATGAGCAATGTTCAGCTTGTGGCTGGATCTATTGAGATCCATGAAAATCTCAAGTTATTTCCAAATTTTTGCTAATTCTACAAGAGTTGGGGAGAGTTTACCTACCCCAGTACAGGATTAACTCATAAAAGGAAGAAATGGCTCAGAATTCTTTAAAATTAATACACTACGATACATAATTAAGTTAAAATATTGTATCCAAACATAGTATTTTGGAAGAACTACTATTATAATGAAATACTATATTTTCTGTTTTTCTAGCTGTATTTCACAATTGATATATACTGCACTTGAGTGACAGGAGAAAAAGTAACATTTAAACCTCACACCATTTCTGCATAATAAAAGCAAGTAGTTGATAAACAATATATTTACAGAGACAAATTCAAACCTCGGACCATCTAGCCTTGCATGTGTCAATGAATGAGATAACCATAATAATTTAACTCTTAGAACAGAGTACACATCTCAATGTACTTGTCATTTAGCACTCTACACTGAGGGAAAATAGCAGACTGAGTGGAAAGACTAATTGTGGCTTGGTCCTTCCAAAAACTTTCAAGTCACATCACAAACCCCATAATTAGAAACTCCCCCTGCTCCCTGGCTTGGCACTTCTCAGTGGCATCACAAACTGTTAAGGAGCTGGCCAGGACTCAATGTGTCTCTCACACAGAAGTAGCCAATCTCTTGAGGTATGAACGCTCATCTATGTCCATTAATTCTTGGCATGGCTGAGGCAGTACTGCAGGAGAGTGTTATTCAGCCTCTTTCATCTTACATTGCTCTAAAGCAGCCAAGGGTAGATTATGTTGATTTACAGTTAGGCAGCACAGGATTCATCACTGTGCCCAGTGAATATTTCAAAAACAATTTTATTTGTAATGATCTTTTTAAACTAATGCCTATTCTTTCCAAAAGATTCTGAGGATCAGATCCAAAACCCACTGAAGTCTATAGAAAGACTCTTGGGAATGTAACAGGTTTTGGATCAGGACCTCAATGAGTCCCGTCACTTTGAATAGTGGATTTCTCAGCTCTCTCTCCAATTCCTTAATTTTAATAGATACAATAGAAAACAGTGAATAGAGATACATTTCCAAATACAGTACTTTGCTATTTTCCATATACACCACCAGTGCTAATGGAACTCAGTCCCAATCATTAGTGCCACCGCCGTTACGGTCTCGGACCTCTCTTGAATATCATTAAATCATGCACAATGACTAACCGCCTTGTAATGTGGAAAAATGGGGACAATGACATTTTATTTATTAGTTAAAGCTCACTTAATCCAGGTCTGCAAAGCAAGGTTGGAACATAAACGAACTGTCATTCAACTCAAGTTAATGAATTTCAGACAGTCTTATGTAAGGTGATTATAAAATAAAGCACCATACAAATATAGCATGTTCAGTACAACTAGATTTAAAACTCAAATCGACAGATATAAGTTTGATAAAACTTACTTCAGGTGGTTTTCTGCCTAGAAGCAGGTACGTAGCCATGACTTCGTCATACTTTTGCTTTACTAAAGATTCATGGATCTCCTCTCTTGAAAAACCCATAGTGACCATTATGTCTATAAACAAACAAACCAAACAAGATGTATTCTTAGCAGGACAAGAGTTCTAGAGATTCTTAACAATTTAAACACGCTGAAAATGGAAAACAAAGTTGGTAGATAACTGCTGATTCTACAGTTGAAATGAAGCTATATAACATTATTGCTCAGTAATGAAAAGACTAGAGCGCCACTGTTTTCAGTGTGATTACTTTCTTGAAAACATTAAATTTAATAAGCTAAACTATACTTAACCTGGAAATGCACAAAGTAACTCTAGAAAAAACACTACAACTAAGTTAAAGTTTCTTTAAATAAATAGCAAATACATTTTATTTTTTGCAATAAACTAATTCTCTTTATGGCACTTCCTATCAAATCATTTTATTTGTAATACAACATTTATCATCTATTTCCATACAATATGAAAAACCTTACCTATTCTTTTGGTGTCATTAAAATCTGGTTCTGGCTCAGTATATGGCTTTAATTCTTCCTCTTCATGGCCAACATTCATCCACCGATCCTTCATAATTTGCTAGGAAATTAAACAAATCTCCATGGCCCCAGGCTCCATGTCAGGCATCTGCGTTGAAATGTACAAGAGTCCCGGCAGGGACTCTTGTACATTTCAAAGGTGGAACTCTGCCGCTGCGCCCCTGTCCCCTTCCACAGAGCTGGAGGAAACCTGTTTTTAAGCCAACTCCCCCCGTCCCCCTGTGCCCCTTGCTGCCTCTTTCTGATAGAGGCAGGGTTGGGGGGGAGAGAGCTATTAGCCGACTAGTGTGTCGACTATCCAATAAGTTTTTGCTTATCGGATAGTTGACTAGTTGATTAGTCACTTACAACCCTACGTGACTGACAGACCACAATATTGCTTGACCAACTAAACAACCAGGAACAGGACCTATATAAAAGTTATTTTTGTATCACAATAGTACTCAAAAGCTACCACTATCTGGAAGTTGAAAAGACAGACACAAGTTGTTCTTTGTATGTAGTTACCATAATAAACCACAGTGACTTTTTAGGGAAAAATCTGCAATTTATAACTTGAGATAGAGCTCAGCTAGCTAAAAAGGCTATTTCTATCTGTATACTTTTATACAAAGCTTTTCAAAGAAAAATGAAACCACTATGATCTGTCATCTCACAAGAATATTCTATTACTGTACATCTGTCCACACAGCTTACACAGTTTGACATGAACACATCTGAACAAGGCTCAAAGGCTGCAATACTCTGGTCAAAAGCAAAGATAGACCCTTAAGTGTGTGCAGCTGAAGCTGCATTAGTTTATCTCTGGAGATGTTGGACTGATGTTTCCAGTTTAGACTGAACATCATGTTTTCTAATGAGCTGTTTATTCTGATCTCCCCTCACTCTCTTCTTAACTGTCTTCGCTCCTTGTACCCTGACTACTCTTCTGTACTGTATTCTTCATTCTGCTATCTTTTCTCCCATGTCCTGACTTTCTGCACTCCCTTGTTCCAATTAATTCATCCTCTTTACTTTCTCCCTCGCCCCTTAAAATATTTAACAGGCATAAAAACCAAAAAAATACACCACCACCCTAAAACCATGGTTAGATTGTAACCCAGTCTCTGCCTCCCCTATCTGTCTGTGTGTCTCTCACTCTCTCTGCTTGGAAATTCCTAACATAACAATGGTTCCCTGAGTTTAGTTGAGACTTCTATTTGTTACTTCAGCACAAATAAAAACTTCTGGAATAAATTAGAACAACAATTTCCATGTATAATTTAAAAGTCTGTGTATAAATCCCACTATTTTCCTCAGTGACAATTGTCCTTTGCCAGACAGGGCAAGAAACATTAGCTCTGACCATTCATCTTTTCCTGGATTGACTCTCTTCAAAATATATTCCAACTTTTGTCTGAAGAAAGACCTTTACATTTAAGTATTTTCATGCCATGTAACCATCTTTATTATTACAGAGTCCCATCTATGCATTTCAGGAGATTTTTCCCTCCTGAACCTTGAACAATTATTTACAGGGAATCCCAAAGCTTCCCTAAATTTTCTCCTTAAAATACATACTCCTACTAAACAGCTAGAAACAATGCTTATCCTACAGCCACAACAGGTAGCAAAGCCTCTTTGGAGATTGACACAAATGCCAGACTGGCAAAAGAGAGACATGACAATTAAGCTACCCTCCCTCCACAGACTCCAAAAACACGATCTCCACATAACACTTTAGTTGAATCCCACTAAGAGAAAAGGGATCAATTTTCCTAGGATGTAACCCAGCATCTTGCTGTACAACATGGCTGTCAAATTAAAGAATCATATAGCAATTGTTCTACTGCTACTAGTACAAAGAACAAAATGTTAAAAATAGGTATTCAAAGATACGTCATTTCACTTATAAGCCAATTCACATTTTGCTGACAGTAAGATCATCAGCTGACTAGATGCTATGCAATGCAATTTTGCCTGAAGTCACAAGGAAGACTATCCAGCAACGTTCTGGTTTGGTTTGAGACTTTATTAATTTCAAAAAGATTAATTTTGTTATTCTTTATAACTGTAAATCTGCCCTGCAACAATTTTTCTACCTCTTTTAGAGAACTTGAAATTCTGACAATTTTAAAAAGTTTCCTAGTCATTTCTGGGACTGTCCATGCCCCTAAATATCCCTGTCAAAATATCTATAATTGTTAAACATTCACCTATTTTTAAAATACGTGTCTCTGTTAGTATGGGAAAGGCCTACCCAACCAAGGTTTATAAAATATACATGACACCAGCACAAGGACTCAGCCTGTTACTTAAGGTGCTTTTTCTTCAATTCCAAATTTGCTGCTGCTGTTACTAGTAAACAACTTCATGGATAGTTTGGAAAAAGAGCACACACTGGAGCTCTTACTACAACAGTGTGAAAGCGGTATGCTAGTGCATGGCTCAGAAACAGACTAAGCAAACACACACACACACACACACACACACACACACACACACACACACACACACGAAAAATAATCAGATCTTTTTCCGTTTCAGTAACCAAATGCATTAATTGTAAAAGTAAGTGGTGCAACACTTTCTGATAGAAATGTGAATTTAAGACTGATTTTGTGCCTTTAGCAACAACACTGAAGAGGCACTCAGGCAGATACACAGACAACTTCTTTCTAAGTCATGTTCCCTAAACTTTTCACCTCAAAAACTACTCTGTATCTCATTTATAAAATATATTTTTGTGATGGCTCTCGTCTTCAAATTAGAGGATGGACTCTTGCCCAATGTTTCATTTCAAGAGTGCCTCAGACTGTTTATTCACTCCCTTTTTGCAGATAATTGGCACTAACCCATTTTCTACCCTAGAAAAGCAGGCTCCTGCATGGCTGCCATCAACACCACTTTACAAGGGAAAAGGATGGGGTTCAAAGAACAGGAATAGATAGATGACTGTCACACTCATAAATACTGAGGAGCCAAGTTATGTCTCCAGGTTTCCAAGAATCATTATTCTTAAGAACAGGACCTGAATCCTCTTCACCAGCTTAACCTTTTAAATTGAAAGCTGGATGAAGCCAATCAAACTGAAGTCAGTCTCATGGCTTCATACAGTGACTAAGCTCTTATCCGTGTATTCTCTAGGCAGGAATATAATGTAATTTATTGTGCTCAACTAAGCAGAATACACCATTAGCCCTCTTCCATCTAACTTTTGAACACAGCCATTAATTCTGAAGTGAAAAATACTTTGGGACAAATCACAAAGTAAGCCCAACTTGACAGAAAAAACTGCATACAAGTACTGCTTGCTATGAGTACCCTTCCTAATCATATGTGCCAGAAACTCAAATCACTACACTAGAAAAAAAACCCTGCTTAAATGGGATTAATTCTCTGGATCATCATCCTCTGCAATGAAAGCAAACACATGAAAATGAAATAAAGGTCACTGGTGACTAATTGTACTGCAAACATTTGATCATCTGTTGTACTTTTTAATTTGAATACTGACAAGCACTATCTAATAATAAAGCTTTATTTGCCACAGACCTCCAAAAGCAATACAAAAGGGCATTTAGATCTGTGGTCTGAATCTATACACAAATAAAATATTTGATGTAATATACATCATCTCTGGAGCCAATCAGTAAATATATGCTGCCATAGGAAACAGAATTTGAAATTATATTACTTGAATAAATTGTACATTTGAAGCACCTTCCAAAACTGTTAAGTAACTGTCTCCACCTTCCAGGCAGTAGGCTGGCTATTTAAAGTCATGGCAAGAACTCTCAGACATGGCTTCACACAGCTTTTTGTTTTTCCTCAAACAAAAAATGTTCCTCCAAACAGACATCTACAAACCCATTCTGCTTTCCACATTTTTTGAAACTAGCTGCATGTGTGATCATTTGCAACAATTCAAAAGGAAGCAGTTTGCACTTTGTAATCTTAAAGTGACAGTGTTTTGATCAGACAAAAGTTAATAAAGGAAAAAGACTCCATCGCCTACCCTCATATTCAAATTGCAATGCTTAATAACAATACTAAGATAAACCTAAAACAACAACAAATGGTCTGGTAGCACTTTATAGACTAACAAAACATGTTTTGTTAGTCTATAAAGTGCTACCAGACCATTTGTTGTTTTTAAGTTTATCCTGTACAGACTAACTTAGCTACCCCCTGAAGCTTCCTAACAATACTAGGAACTGCAGGCCCCACAGAAATTCTTGCTCTGAAGATAATTTCAGAAAGAAATTACTTACTTCCAAGCTCCCTCTTTTTACTGGATTCAGTACCAATAGTTTTTTCAGTAGATTTTCACAGTCTGTAGACATATAAAATGGAATACGGTACTTTCCCCGTAATACTCGCTCCCTCAGTTCCTAGGAAGAAAATGGAAAGAAAAACACACTCTTGATACTGAAAAGTTGGCAAATTCAAATTGAGATTTCAAATTTCAACTGTACCTTTAAATTCTGACCATCAAATGGTAACGAACCACTGACTAGTGTGTAAAGAATAACTCCAAGACTCCATACATCCACCTCTGGGCCATCATATTTCTTTCCTTGAAAAAGTTCAGGAGCAGCATAGGGTGGGCTTCCACAAAAAGTGTCTAGTTTGTTACCAATTGTAAATTCATTACTAAAACCAAAATCTGCAATTTTAATGTTCATGTCTGCATCAAGTAGAAGGTTTTCTGCCTAAGAGAAAAACATTGAAAGAAAAATGAACAATTTATACAACCAGAATAAAGATCAGCATATAAATGTTCATCACTTGTTGATAAGAAAAGCTACAGGTTCCAAAATATACAGTTTGATTGTTTGAATTTAGAGAAAAAAGGAAGCAAACCCGGTAAATGCACTACTGAGAATACTGCTCTTTAAAATATTTGGAGTCCAATTCTGAGGTGCAAATACAGGCAGTCCCCGAGTTACGTGGATCCGACTTATGTCGGATCCGTACTTACAAACGGGGCTTTTCTCGCCCCGGAGGACGCGGGCGGCGGGACCACCCAGACGTGCCGCGGTCCCGCCGCCCGCATCCTCCGGGGCGAGAAAAGCTGCTCTGCATCTCGCTGGTCTGCTGGGGAGGGCCCAGCAGACCAGGGAGACGCTGAGCAAAGCCGCAGAGGACGTGGGCGGCGGGACCGCCCAGACGC